CGTACCACGATCATTATTAACTGTTCTTGCTTAAAGCAAACAAACAAAAAACCCCAAGAATACCTAGAATACTATATTATTACTTTTCTAACTATTGCAGCCAGTACCGGACATAAAAAAGAGGTCTGACATTTCCAGGTTGTTATCTCAAGTTCCATACCTGTTACAGAATTCCTCAATCACAGCCAGTATTTTTACTGAAGAAATCTGTTCTTTATAACACATTCTGTGCTCAGAGTCAGCATATTCAGGTCACTAGTTAAAACAGGAGAGCTGGCATTCTCTTACCAGATTTAAACATTTTTCTTGCCTGATATGACTTATCACCACACCACTTAAGACTAGACTAGCTAAATGAATTTATACTGCTTCAGGAACAGACACATAATCCATACGGATACACACATGACCACATTATCACTGACAGACACACCATGCCAGCACTTCCACCGACTTCATCAAGAAAAATGTGCGTTCCTACACATCAGCCTTTCAAGCTACAGCACAGAGGCACCAGCCACATCCAAAACGTCTCAATGCATTCTTCACACATCTGAAATGTGCTTGCTGATGGGTGCCTATTATTTTCATTTCCATGGCAGAAGATAAAATCTAATTGCCCCCAGTTAAGGTAATTCAAAGTTGAAAAGAAGTATCATTGCTGCTTCTAATTCACTGATAAGAAGCTACAATTCCTGTAAACAAACAAAACGTTACACTCCTGCATGCAACACTTCTCAGTCAGACTGACAAAATTACTGGCGTATTATTACCACATATGAAATCATACTTACATTTCGATTAAATTTCGTGAAGGAATGATGCATATAAAACCTGTGCATGTAAACAATTGCGGTATTTATCGTAAGCTGAGAGCTGGAAGATTAAATTAAGGAAACACTACATATTGAGAAAACTGTTTACAAGATCTGAAGGCGATGGGCTTTCCACATCAATCACTGCTCTCAACATGCTGTCTCCAGGCGAAAATGGATTAAGGACACTTCAGAACTGAACTGATATTAACACACACTTAACCGATATTAACACGGATCCTTCCCATCTGTTCCGCAGACCATGTGGAGATTCCTACACCAGGCTCGCCAGTCACCCGCTGAATGAAAACTCATCAATGAGCGACATGCGCTGAAACACCGTCTCAAGTGCTTTTGTTTCGTTCCAAGTCAACTATTTCAGCAAGCACTGTGAGGGTTTAGGCTCGTTCTTTTTAAAATCACATTAAAGAACGGCGACGGAGGAGATGCCCATGTCGTGGAAAACGGGTTTGCGGGCACTGGGCTTTACTTTATAAGTGCCCAGACCCGCAGCCAGGGACCCACCCGCGGCTGGCAGGGCCGGTGGGAGCCCCGGGCCCCTCGCCCGCCGACAAAGAGCGCGGCGCGGGGGCCCCGCAGGCTCCTCCTCCCATTCTGTGCCTCAGGCCACGGCTCCATCCCCCGGGAGCGTCGGCCGGGGGCTGTGGGAGCCCGGGAGGGGTCTCAGGGAGGGCTCCCACACCGAGGGAAAGGGTGTCCCGCCGCCCGTCCCCCGCCGCCCTGAGCGCGTCCCGCCCGGCACCGCTCGGATACACGTTGAGGCGCTGGCCCATGTCTTGGATGAGGTTGGCCGCCTGCTGCCGGTACGAGAGCTCCTTGTCGGCCTCCACGCCGCAGCGCCGCGACGGCGTGTTCTCCAGCTGCTCGCGACTGAAGAACCAGCGCGACGCGGCCGAGGAGCCGCCGCCGCCCCGCGCCGCGGCCCCGGCGGAGCCCGCGCCCGCCGCCGCCATGACACCTCCGCCACCACCGCCGCCACCGCCTCTCGCGCCGATCTCGCGAGAGCGCCGGCCCCGCGCGCGCCCGCGGCCAACCATAGAGTGTCGCGGCAGAGCGGCCGCGCGCCCGCAGGTCACGTGTCCTGAGGGGCGGGGACAGGCGGTGGCCTTGGCTGCTGAGGATGCGGGGGAGCGTGGAATCGTGGAATCGTGGAATCCTTGCAAAATATGGAATATTCTTGAGAAAACATGTTCTTTGCTGTTTGATCTCTGTGTGCTGTATTGGAGTCTGGCTGAGCTGGAGTTCTTTCCCCCCGCAGCAGCCCTCACAATGCCGTGCTTTGCACTGGCAGCTGGAAGGGTGTCGATAACACACCGGTGTTTTGGCTCCCGCCGAGCACAGCACCAGCACTGTAACATTCCTCCCGGGAGGGGACCCAACCAGGCCAGCTGACCCAACCCAACCCAAAGGGATATTCCGTACCGTGTGACATCAGCTCAGATATAAAAGCTAAGGCAAGGAGCAAGAAGGCAGGCATTCACTGTCTCCAGTGGCTGCCTGCTAAGGAACCACTATGCGTGCTGAAGCCCTGCTTCTCGGGAAAGCGTCCGGACATCGCTGCTGATGGAAGTAGAGGATAAACATTATTTTTGGCTTCGCTTTTGCACGTGCAAGCTTTCGCTTTGCTTTCGCCTCAATAAACTGCCTTATCCCAACACACGAGTTGTTTTCCATCTTACTCTCCCTCCCCTTTACAGCTGGGAAGGGGAGTGATAGAGCGGCTGGGTGGGCACCTGGCGTCCCACCAAGGTCAACCCACCACAAATGCTTTCAAACCTAATCAACACTAAGGGAGATATAACCCATGAAACTGCCACCTAAAAGTGGTGCTTAAAAGGAAACCTCTAAGACTCCCATTTGTGAGTAGGTCAAGATGCTGGGTGCGTTGGTCATCATTTAGCCAAAATGCACACCGAGGTACCACTGCTACAGTTTATATGTCAACGTTACACAATTTTTCCTTTTTCTTCTCCACGTTCCCGTTACATATTCATGACATCTCCAACACTTGGAGAAGATGCATATGCTCACATCATAACAAACAGCAACTTGTCCAGTTCTCTCCCATGTTACACATCAGCTGCCTTAAAGAATTAAGATCACTTTCTAAACCTTTTGCCCATTCCTATTTCACCCTTAAATGATAACATGGTACCAAATGTTACTTTTACACAGATATTGTTAAGCCTCAACCTCATTCCCAGGTGGATCCAGGTCCCCAACCAGTGACAGCGCCTGTTGTAATTTGGAGCTGATCTTTGCCTTCCTATTTTTGTGTCTGTAAAAATCAAAGTACAGTGTTTTACCTCATTGTTTAAAACACTGTATAAAACTCATGGAGTTTGGGTGTTCAACTTACATTTATTATTTCTTCAGTAGTTGGTGGAGAATTAAGAATGTTCTCATCTGACTGTCATTAGAATTTTACATTAGCTTTGTTAATGAAAAGAAAAATGTAGGGAAGATTATATATATCCTTATCTTAAAAATCTTAACACATTGAGAAAAAATAGAATATCATTAAATAATGACAGTGCATAATGAATATGATTTATGCGGGGTATGCACATTAATTAACTGCCATGCAGAGTGCTGCAATCACCCATTCAGTCACAGGTTAAGGTAATTAAATACTGTTTTTGCTATTGGAGAGGTTTCAGACCTTGGTCCCCAAAGATGTAACATTGCATTCTCACTAACTTAACTTTTTTCATTCATAAAAAATTGAAGAATTAATCCAATTAAAATGTATTGGAAGAATCACAGTGTATTTTCCTCTTAAATCCATTTAAACATCTGCGAGAGTCATATACACTGAAGGGAAATAAGATTATATGAGAACGAAGTTGCCTTTCTACTTTGAAATTTAATTAAAACAATCTGATTGAAAAATCATATATTTAAGTAGCTTGATGCTTGTATGTGGCTATTTAAATAAAAAAGGTCAACAGAAGTCTTGTGAACCTGAGGACAATAAATATTGTTAGAGATATTTTCTAGGTCTTCTTTTTGTCTTACATAAAAACTTGGTATTCTAAACTGGTGACTTGCTGACTACTTCAGCTTCTGATGTCCACTAGTCTTTTATGGAATATATTTGGAGGAACAATATGGTAAAAATCCAAATGGAAGAGCTCAGTGTTGTGGTTTAACCCCGGAGGGCATCTCAGCCCCAGCAGCTGCTTGCTCACCCCTGGGGTGGGGCAGAGAATGGGAAGGGTAAAAGTGAGAAAACCTGTGGGTTGAGACAAAGACAGTTGAACAGGTAAAGCAAAAGCCATGCAAGTAAGCAAAGCAAACCAAGGAATCCATTCCCCACTCCCCATGGGCAGGCAGATGCTCAGCCATCCCTAGGAAATCTGGACTCCATCACATGTGATGGGGACTAGGGAAGAGGAACACCATCACTCCACACGTTCCCCCCCTTTCTCCTGCTCCTCCAGGTTTATATGCCGAGCATATAAACATCCTGTGCACCTCTAGCCCCCTTGCTGGTGGGCTGAGGAGCAGAAAAAGCCTTGGCTCTGTGTAATCTTTGCTCAGCAGTAGTGAAACAACCCCGTGTTATCAACACTGTTTCCAGCACAAATCCAAACCACAGCTCCATACCAGCTACTGTGAAGAAAACTAATTCTACCCCAGCCAAAACCGGCACCCAAGGAAAACAAAATGAACCTGCACAAACCACCTTTGTTTTTTTGGTGGATTTGACACTAAAGAAGGACAGAGTCTTCCTTGTAGTCCAACAGAAGCTGGTATCAGCAGGAATTGCTGATGCTCAGCATCCTTCAGGTTGAGCTTGTGGCAGTTTTGGCCAGAGCTAAAAAAACCTGCTGTCTAATACTATTTTGCCTGGAGTGTTCTAAAGCCTAAACAGAAGAATGGTGACACCACAGGTAGCCAGCAAATGTTCCCATAAGAACAAAGACTGTAAGTGCTCATCCACATTTTTCTGTCCGGTATAAAATCCTCTCGGGAGGAGGATGCCTGTGCACTCACTGGATAATAATGAAAACCCATTTCAATCAATAGGCTATAGAGTAAGCCATCTTCCCATTCTTATATCAGGACTCAATCTAATTAGAGCAATAACACTTCAACATTTAAAGTATCCAACCTTACTTTAGGAAGTATTTTTTAAGGAATAGAAAGAACATTAAACCATACTGTTGCTAAACACTAGTATTTATTTTGATAGTGACAGTGACATATCAAGTATTACCCACACAAAATACATCATTTCTGCACCTACAACCATATTGTCCAGATTGTTTCTGATGAATAAGTTGCCAGTGGTGTAGGTGGCAGCTGAAATGTAAAGTTCCCCACATAGACTTTTTCATCCTGTCACAACACTGACAAAGCATCAGTGCCCACCCTTGTAGTGCTGAGCTGAGTGTGACATGATGAACTTCCCAGCAGTGGATACAGACAAGTGTTACCTTTTATTGGGCACCAACAAAGTTCTGCTTAAATTCTGTTTTAAGATTCTTTCAAATTCTGTTTATTGCTCATAACAAAGACTGAAATGTAATGGGTACATAGTTTTCTCAGCTCTTTCCTTCCTGAGAATCAAGTCCTAATAACATGGCATTGATTATAATTCAGAGATTCTTATTACAACTGCAAAAGGTGAAATCTCTCCTTTATTATGAAAGCAGGGATTTCAGAGTTGTTTAAAACAGCCTAAATCCTCAAATGCACAGCAATACCTGTGCATACTCATTTCCAGTACCTATGGGAGACTGTTAGATGCTTGTCAAATTTCTTTTTCACCTGTACAATTGCACATGGCAACAGAAGCATCCCGAAGGATCCAGCATTGTTTCCATAGTTTAGCCTCTTTAGTATCTTCATAATTATTCAAATTGTTTTCTGCTAAGACTCAAAAATTCCAGAGCATTTCCAGCCTTGAGTTTATCCTGTAAAAACAAAACACATATATATGCTTGTGCTTAACTCATATTTAACTCAAATGCTTTTACTTGTGCTTTAAAAGGAATTGCTGCAACTAGAGTAGAGGGCCTCTTCCAGTCTCTGCAGAAATCAGTGTACTACACTGAGTTTTCAGTGTTCTATCTCATGTCTCAAACTAGAGAGGGAAAAAACCCCTCTAATGTAAAGATCATACCTTCAGTTTATGGTCAAAATCATCCATCGAATCAATCAATTTTCCAGGTTCCAGTTCCCCAAGTGGGAAAGGGTAATCTGTCCCCAAAATGACTTTGTCCTGGTAATAAAAAAATTTGTACACTTTGTAGTAACATTGAACAACAGAGTTGCCTTCTGGAATTTATAATAAACCACAGGAAATTGCATGTATGTATTGGAGTGATTAGTTATGAAAGTGAATATGAAGATAATAACTTCCATTAGGGAAAGAACAAAGCTTGAAAACAATGGTTCAAGAGTTTATTGGGTGAATTTAAGCTTGAAAAAATTGCAGGTTATTTGTTAATAATTTTTGTGGTGCCTAACTGAAGTTTGAGGTATTTTTATTCTGATATACAAAAAGTTCAAAATGCAAATCCCAGGCCCATGGCATGACAGTCTGTTGCTCGGGTGAATAAAAGACAAATAGGAATTTCCTACTTGAATTGATTTTCTGTGATGCTGGTTAGAAATGTAACAAAGAGGCATCTATTGTTCTCCTACACTGCTTATACCACTGTTGCAAGTAGTTTGCCTAAAATGCAATGATTAATTTTGGTTGTGTTGCCATAATTAAATAGCCAATAAAGGACACACAGAATTCTCCCTTCTGATTTTTGACTTATTCACTGCATGCTCTGCACTGTTGTGTGCAGTGCAAAATGTGTATGAGACTTTTTGACACATTTCTTTAAGAATCTAAGGAAATTCTCCACCAAACTCAGAAAATGTGCTTGGATTTGCATTCCTGAATTTGAAATTTTTATCTACATACACACAGACACACAAAAACTTAAACTTACATATGTGTGAGAAGAACATGTAACAAGAAACACAAAGCAATCAAAATTACCTTTGGTGTGATACCTTGAAAGTTGTAATAATGGCAAAGTGACACTACTTAAAGTATGATACAATGTAGAATTACTACAAACACTGACATTAAAAGAGTATTTAATTTAATTTAACTGGTATTCAGCTTCAGATTACAAAACCTAAATCTCATTTACAAAATTTCAGATATTTCTGGAAGTCTGTAACTTTTTTTAAATGTCAATGGCTTTAACTGGGACTGGATATTAACTGTGCATTTGAAACATGTACCTGAGAATATGAGTGACATGATATGATTTATTTCTGAAAGAAAGTCTATGAAAAGAAAATTCAATAAAAATCTGCATGCAACGTTCCTGTTATCAGAGATGAAAAGAAATAGGCACATCCTTGACAGGGCCACATTGTTATGGGCTCACTTTCACCCTGGAGTGATATTTCCCCATTTTATCTGCCTTGGCGAGTGCATACTGCCAACTCTCCCGATTTTATTAAAAGTCTGTTTTTCTTTAAGTTTCATCTCCTGAAGACATGAATATTTGAAAACCACAGTTTTCATTAAAAAATATGTTTTGAAATGTGTCATGAATTTGAAGTCAAGCTGATAAATATGGGACACTTTTTATAATGTTTGAACTCTATTACCAATAATGACATATGGTGAAGAAAACATCATTCAATTATTTTTTGAAATGCTTTGTTTTTTCTAGTTGCCAAATGCTTTTTGTTTTTAAATTGTTTAACCTCCAGTAGATGTCAGCCAAGAGTCTCTGGAAGAATCTACACAAACCTTTACCCAAAATCCAACCAGGAGATATTCTATTGTTCTGTCCTATATTGATGTGTTATAATTTATTATGGAAGACCTGCTAAAAGATTAATATAGGAGAATTTATATGCCCTGTCTAATAAATCAATTTCTGAGTGTAGATGAAACAAAATATTTTTAAGCTTTTAAGCTTCAAAATATATTCTTTTATTTATAATATTCAATTAAATACCAAGACATTTTATTCAGATAGGAAAAAAAATATATGCCATCTACAAAAACCTCTAATTAATAAACATACCAGGTTTATATGAGAAAATGGATTTCTAAGCAGAGGAGAAGGAAATGCAGAATTTGCCCAGCTATTTACTAGGCAAGGTTAAGTAAGGCAGGAAGGCTTGTACATCCTTGTTTATGCCTCCTATATACCAAACCAGAAAGAAATCCCACAACCTCATTAGAATAATATATATTTTTCTTTTCCTCTCTATACAAATATATTTTTCTTTTCCTCTATTTGAAAGTGTTTCACAAGTGTTTGAAAACTAATCATGGGATCTATTCCTTAGTAGTAAAATTAAGAACTGTAAATTGATAGGAAAAATTTAGGAGCAGCATTCTGGCTGGTGATCTTAGGCTATTCATTTATACTCTTTGAGCTTCAGTTTTGTACCCATCTATAAAACAGGGATTGGAATACCTGTCTTTAGCAACCAGCCTCAGAGAAGTCTTGTGAAGCCTTTGCAGATAAATAATGCTCCTAGCATAAGAGATGTACTATTATATTATTCCAAAGCATATCAACAAAGTCAATTTTTCCTAGAAGAATTATGGTTTGATTCCTTAATTAGCACAGGTCTCTGTTTAGAAAGGTACATGGGATAATGATTAACCTCAGGGGACTCTTTTACTCCATAGAACTTTTTTTCACAGTAATAGGGACCTGAATCTGAAAATGAACCTCAAAGCTGGTTCACCTTAAGCATGAGTTTGCTCTCTTATATTGGTAAAAATTACCTTGAATCTCACCTTCTTTCCTACTATCAGAACACATCTCAAAAAAAAGGTCAGATTGCTACAACCAGTTCACCTCCAACTTCTGGCCAGAGGATGTTTTGCCTTTGGGCGATGGCTGTTGAGGAATCACCATGGGGAAGTTTTTGCAGAGATACACTGAATCATTTAATCCCATGTCAACCCAGTTCTTCACTTTTCATAGCCAGCATCATTAGGGATTTTGTGTTTATTTGTGTTCACCTCATCCCACCTCATCATGGGGGGAGCGAAGGACTGCAGCAATTTTGCAGTCCCACAAAGCTCCCAGAAATGTGTATTTCTGCTTCCTTTAGCTGGGATGGGCTCCAATTAACCTGCACCTAAAACAAAGAAGGCGTGAACTTCACTGTCCATGACTCACCACAGATGTCACTGGATTTTAGTATTCATCAGCTCAAAGCCAACACGTTACATTCTGGTGCCAGGTAGTGGCTGTTCCCTGAGGACCCAGAGCCATGTCTAAGCACATCCCCTTCCTGCACAGCTCTTAGCCATCCTCTGGAGAGCTGTCCTATTTCAAACCTTCAGCTCAGAAAGTTACAGTGTCATCTTCAAGACTCAATCACATTGTTTTTAGCCCAGAATTTATTAATCTTACATGTGTTATCCTGCCAACACACGACTGCACTGAAAGCACTGAGATATTTGGTGTTTCTTTAAGCGTTTGACTCATGGAAGGGTATTATGTAAGAATATCAACTTTCATTAGAAAAAAAGGGAGCTTTTTAATCTTCATGGTTATAAAGTAAAGTTTGAAAATGTCATGTGAATGTTTTTTTCCCAAGGATAAGATGCCTTAGGCTATGAAAAAGAGAAAGTTTTCCTGAGTGTTAAAAAGCACTTATGTTTTGGGTATCTGACTCATAACTTTACAGCACTAGAGTTCCACCTGATGTCTCATTGCTTGAGCTCAGAATACTCAGAGGAGAATTAAAGAGGACACCATCATTCTGTGTAGTATGCTGGCCAAATTTATTGCATTTAGAAACTTAATTTCAGAAGGCTGTTGACAAAAGAAACAAGACACCAGAGAGGTTAATGCTGAGTGACTTTTAGATTATCAAATTACAATGTCATCTCTCTCTCCTCAAAGAACTAAATTTCAGTTGCAAAGACTAATCATGATTAAGGGCCAGAGTCTATGTGTAACTTCTCGAGATGAAAGGTAGAAAAAGTAAAGTGTGGTGCAAAGACTGCAGCTTTCCCACAACAACAATAGTTTAGAACAGCCTTGAGATGCAAAGCTGACTCTAAAGCAGAACTGCTCTGAGACTTGCCGAGCTACACAAGTTCAAATAGAAAAGAGTTAAATTAGTCAGCAATGAATTAAGCATCCTGTTGTACTTTCCCTCCTTTGGTCTTGACATCCACGGGTCAGCTTAACAGATTCAGACTAGAAACAGAATCTGTGAGTCTCAGCCGTGCTGAGTCACACAGCTGCTGATTTACCAAGGTCTGTAGAACAATGGGAAAACATGTCTCCCAACATTATAAAATGCATAAAAAGAGATAAGCCAGTGATCTTTTCTCCTTGCACAGGCAATTTAAAATTCAAGAGCTACACTCATCCCTCTGTACCATAACTGCATGTAGAACAAATATTTGGATGAATGTGGTCTAGATTTGGGGAGATTTCTCAGAAAAGGAATAACAGAGGCAAGTGCTGAACTGTTACTCCATGAGCCTTTGGATGTCTTGTAAAATAGACATGCACATGTCTATTTACTCTATACAGTAAAAATATGGCAGAAACCCATCAGTGTATTTCACTGGGTGAAGTTGTTGTCTTCTTCCTGTTTTCTTCTTCTCTTATTTTGCTGTTTCATAGAGAATTAAATAATGACTCACCCTCTTCTGGAAGCATTAAAACTCACCTCTCCTATGACACTTGTTAACAGCCTTAGTGCACCAGGGTCATGGACAAGAGAGTCTGTGTAAAATGAGCCAAGGTATTTCTTTGGATCCACCTTGTTATCCATCGCACACAAGTCAGGGCGCACGTTGAATCCATGGGAGATTCTCCCCACTGTGTATGGAAAAGCTCCACCTGCAAGAAGAAATTTTCAACAACAGCAGCTGAAAATAACGTAGGAGGGAAAAAAAAAAGCCACATTATCACCAAAGACCCACAAGTTTTACTGTCAGCTACTTAGAAAGTGCTCTGCACCAGTAATTTTTTATTCCTTTCCCTTCGTTAACTTCTTTCTCTATTGTCCTCACTTCTTCACTACTGTGATGTCCAAATTCCTCCTGCTGCTTCTTTGTCCCTTTCCTTAAATCATCTCCTGTCTCTCTTTCCTCCTTGTTTCCCTTAAAGGGTATTTTAGCAGTTCAAACCCTGTTTGACACAGGCTAGGCAGTGTTCATAGAAGCAGCTGATCTGGCAGGTCTGGGGTAATAGTGCTCAGCTGGTGGCAGCCTTAAAGTGCTTGAACGCTTCAACCTTAGCTGGGGTACCAGAAAATACAGCTGTAACACGCTTAGCTAAAGAACTGGAGTTTCACATGCCACATTACTCACCTCCATGTGCAAAGCAAACTTTCAGCTTAGGAAATTTTTCAAAAATTCCACCCATAATCATGGAGCAAATGGCCATGGTTGTTTCTGTTGGCATGCCTAGGAACAAAAACAGTGTAATTGTATAAGAGTTTCACTTTTCCAATTTCCTCCTAGATTTTTAAATGTTATCTGAATTTTCTTCCATTAGCCTTGAGCCTACTGAAAAAAATAATAGTTACAGGGCACCTGCCAAAGGTTTCACATTATTACTATTAGAGGGACACAGAGCTGAACTTTAAGTAAATGAAATGAAGATGCAGGACTGGAAGTTCAGATGTTCTGAATTCTAAGTCCAGTTTTTACTCTACAGCACCAGGACAGATGACAGGCAGGTTGGGTATGTCCTGAAATACACAATACAGGCTTTATTCCCGTTATCCTAGCTCAAAGAGTAGTCTGGAATATGCCAGCTTCTCACCTGTGCTTCTGGAGTCCTCTTTTGTGAAAAGGGGGGCAGATGTATTGGTGGATATTCCAACAGAGATTTGGGGTTTAGTTATGACATGATGCCAGTTCCTACAGTTTTGAAATAACCTCTCTCTCTCTTTGCCATGGCTAAGTTGGATGGTCAGCGTTAGGAACATAACAGCAATTTAGGTTGCTACAGCAGGCCTCAATTTATGGGTTTACCCAACATACTTAGAATATTGTGCCATCTAAACATCTAACTTCAGACATCCAACTTAAAGTTAGGAAATGAGTTCCCCTCATCTCTGGGAGAAACAATACCCATCCAGCTCAAAAAGCTGTTTTTTTCATTAATGTTTTACCATACGCTCAGATGTAAAGCCTTGTAAGTCTTTGTAAGAAAATATTTTATTTATACTTTGTTAAGTAAATGCAATAATTTTATTCTCTTTTTAAATCTGCATTGTTGAGCCTGCTCTCATTAAGATTAATTAAACTTGTTTTAAGATACTGCACTAGTGATTGGGACAGCAAGATTTTCCAGTGCATACTGCAGAACATATATTATATGTATATTGTGTATGTTTTTCAGAACTGAAGTAAGTGCAAAACCATGCAAACCAAAACTATGCAAAATAGGGTCAGTGAGGGTGGAATGAGGTCTAAACATTTTGAGGTAGCAGAATAACCCTCCTCCTGTTATTCACTGTTGTTCTGATGTACCATCAGATGGGGAAAAACCAGGAACTAGATAATGCCCTGTATCTGCGGAGTGCTTTCAAAGTACATGCTCTTCCAGCTAAAGTTGATGTAAAGTTAGACTGATTTCCTCTCTGGCTAACCTATTTCTAGGAAATAATCCACTAAATTCTAGGAAGTAATGTTTGTTTCCTCCTATTATTTTTGAGGAGCTCATTTCTGAGACTGTTCATTTTTCCTTAGTCATCTGCTTTTTGTATTGAAGACAAAAGGGAATACTATGTTATGTTGCAAAGCTGAATAATTTTAATTCTAAGTATTTAAAAGTTAGGCAAACTGAACAAGCTTAAAGCCAAACGAATTTACACAATAGACTTAATCGTACTACCTGATTAAAAAAAAGGTTTGATAGAAAATCCATTTTTTATCTGCACTAGTACTTTACTTTGCAACAATCTGCTGAGCATAATCCAATTTATAAATTTAGGCTAAGCAAAGTCAATATACACTTACCTATTAGCCAAGGAAACCAATATTTGGACATCCTCCCATCTATCTGCATGTCCCAGGGATGCACAAAGAGACAGCAATTCAATTTTTCAGCAGCCTGCAGCAAAAGAAAAAGTCTAAATCTTGACTATATATTATACCAAAATACATCTTTTTTTCTTAATCATATTTTAAAATTACCTGCAAACCTGTACTGAGCAGTAGTACTAGTATGAAAATAAGCTCACAAGTAAGAACTATGAGTAATAGTTGCTTATATTTACTCCTCTGGGCCATAGTCTGAAGTCCTTACTCAGATTCAAAGTTCTTTCTGTGACCACAGATTGGAAATATAGATGATAATATCTTTTTAGTAAGCCAAATGTTCCTCAGATTAATGCAGGACAAAAATGGTTTTCCATCCATGTTTTTCAGCCATCCTGAAGTAAAAAACTCAGTTCAAGCAAAAACTTCTTTGGTTTCTTTATATATATGAGGATGAATTCTCATAATATTTTATGGAACAATTTTAGGATGGTTTTGCAGAATTGTTCCAGCTGCATTCAGGAATTTTCATGTGAGTTGCACTACTTTGTCCCCTTTGGCCTTCTGCCTGGCTTTAAAGAAAAGTTAAAAATATTCCTAATCTATCCTAAGAGTTCCAAATATGGCTGTGTTCTGATCAGGAATCCATTTCCATGCAAGTATATTAATTTTTCCAAAATTATTGACATCTCAGGAAAGGAAAACAGAAGAACAATGACAGATGCTGACCCTGACTGAGTAATTGAACTATTTGCTTAAATTTAAATATATAATCATCAGAGTCATTCATATGCTAAACCAGGATTTAACAGCTTCGTTTTGTCAGATGTATTTCTGGACCTCCTCTTGTTGCTAAGGAGATTATCACACATTTGAAAAAGTTTGATTTTGTTTACCCACACATGCATAAATAAAGCTGCAACTTTTGGGTTGTGGGGAGTAATTGCCATCTACATTTGTAAACTAAAAATAGCGATTCAATTACTGTCTTGGTAGATTGACAAGAGTTCATTGTCAAATATGGCTTAATTTCCCAATCTGTATTGTCCAGGGAGGTAACTTCCTACATTGTGAAGAAGGTACAGTGTAAGAGAGAGATCCCAGTACAAGAGGGGGATCCCAGCACCAGAGACATGGAGTTACTGGAGGGAGTCCAAAGATGATGAAGGGACTGAGCATCTCTCCTGTAAGGAAGTGCTGAACAGGGGGTTGGACCAGATGGCCTCCAGAGGACCCTCCCAACATCAGCCATGCTAAGATTCCATTAATGTGGGCATCTACATCTGATAACTGACTGTTTATGTCCATAAAAACAAACAGTCCAGGTGCTGCACTAACAGAATTCTTGGATAAATTGAGCATCCTGAAATATGACCTCTGTGGCTCAGTTTCAAGCAGACAGCTCTAATAACTTGAGAAACAGATGCAGAATGTACATTGATTAAAGCTGTAATTTAGACAAATGACCATCCTCATCTGGACCCCAGGCTATTTAAGAAATTCAATATAAAAATTCATTTTATAATCAGTGCATTGTTTGGAACCTTTGGTCCTATTTACATAATTCCATGTGGTGTTTCGGCTCTATAGGTATCTCTGATCATCTCTGGGATTTTATCAATTATTTCAATAGGATTAGATACAGCAACTTGAACCCGAATGCAAAGAGTGCAGAAGTGCTTTATTTGATACTGTACTTACCCTCACAAACCAAAAAGGCAACTCTACAGTGAGAACTCATATAAGAAAAAAAAAAATTGTTACTCATTATTATAAAATATGTTTCAGAATGTTTTGTGTTGTATTATTGTAATTATATCCTATAATGAATTGCCGTAAGCTGAGTCTCTCTGATCACTAAGCAGATTAGAAGGCTCAAACCATGACTGAATGTGCTCCAAGATATTTTTAGACAGAGTTCCACATCACAGAATTCCCCCCAAAGAAGGAAAGAAATGGTTACTCACAGCATAAACATCGTACAGCTCTGGGGCATTCAGGTCCCACTCGTTGACATGGGATCCTATTTGCACTCCAGGAAATCCCAGCTCCTTCACACAGCGATGCATTTCCTTCACAGCCAGGTCTGGAGCTTGCAGGGGTAACGTGCCCAGACCCACAAACCTCTTGGGGTACTTCTTTACTGTAGCAGCCAAGTCATTGTTTAATATCTGGGCTAGGTCTAAAGTATCCTGAGGTTTGGCCTGGTAAGATATTAAGCAGAGTAGTACATTAAAATATAGTTCTCAAATGTTATCACCTTTGGAAGATGTTGGATAAATGTCACTGCAAACAACTGAGAGACAGGGTTTAAGCCTAAGTTTGCTTTACGGTTCTGAATAGATGGAAACCTGCAGGACTAAATTCTACCTCACTTTAAAACCTCTGGGTGCAGTTCTGCTTCTTGTCTTGAATATTTTATCAACTGCTGTTGCCTTTGCTGCTCAATAGGAGTGTAATAAAGCCCAGATTGCTGATGCATTTTAAGTATCTGGTCTTTTGTGTAAACCAGTCCCCTGTTTCTGTTTATCCCAATGCAAAAACCTCAGTATATAATTTTTAAACATAGCAATGAATATTTACTCTCCTATTACTGGAGCTGAAGAAATAAAAAAAAGAAATGCGAGATGCTGCAGCATGAGCATTCTACAGAGAAAACTTGGACAAACTTCTCTAACATTTAGAATGAGATAATGGTCATAATTCCAATAAGAGAAGTGCAATATCCATTGAATCAATCTCCATTTCCCCCCCAGTAAGTATTTAAAGGAAGATATTCCCTTAGACACCAGAGTAAAGTTTTAAAGAGATGTTGCTCAACAAGAAATTCTGAAAATTGGTGGTACTACTTATTTGTGGGCTTAACCCAATGGTTTTAATGTAACATATCTGTTTACATATAACATCTTGACTTGTACACATCACTAAATAATCAAACTGAGAATGTATTTAGAACAGCATTTTGCTACGATTTATGTTCTCAGCCTGTTTTTATTTCTTTGAAGCATTAAAGATCACCATGCAAGGAACGTATTAACTTAAATTTACTACTGAATTTTAAGATTCAAATATTCCAGGTCCCCGAGCCCTGTGCCACATTTAAAAGAAAGTGGGACAAGACCACAAATATATCTTTTATATATTTGGGTTTTTTTCACGAGAAAATACTGTTTGATGTCTAACTTTCATGGAATCTGTACATATATGTCTCCCCATTTTCAGCTGCCCCCACAAGAGAAGAGATCCAGCTGCTGTCTCCTTCTTTCCCACCGTGTGTACTCCGGGGTGGAGCTTTGCCAGGACACCCTACTGGCTCTTCTGACACCTGCACTGCTTTTGCCTTCTTCAGAGCAGAACAACTCCCTGTTTACCTCAGTGATCTCGTGACTACTTCAGTCACCTCATTCACAGGAAGATGCATGTACATTCTAAAAGCTGTGCTACACGTGAATTACAAAACACGGTAGTAGGAACTTACCCAGTAGCTGAACATCACAGGGACTGTGGAAAGGGCTTGGACTGTGACCCCTGAATAAGAAAAAGCAGTTATTAATGTTTCCTTTTGTTTGTTTGTTTGTGATAAAAGATAAAGACTTTTGGTTTGAAAGGCAGAAGGTAAAAGTTTTATGATAAGAAACACTGATTTAAGTGACATGGATAGATTTTTTTTTAAATTATGGATCATAGTAATAAATTTTGTAATGTAGCAGTTTATTAAGATTTGAACATATTTGGTAAGTAGAAAGAAAGAGAACACTTTCCTACTCATACTAGATTGTTTGTGAAATTAAGTATTTTGATTTTAGAAATATTTAGTAGGCACATGTACAATCAACTAAAATAGCAATTTAATGTTACTCTCACAAAAATGAATGCGACATTAAACCAACAGAATGCCATAAGTTAAGTTTACTCTGTCATACATATTTAATAAATAAATAAGTGATTTTGCTCTAAGATTAAAAATATTATGTTAACAATGGTTGGTAAACAATGTTTACCCAAGTGTTCCACAAAGCTATATCGTGTTAGGTTTCATTCATCCTGTGTCTGGGTTATTGAGGTTGTAAGTATAAGAAAATCTGCCTGTTTTCAGAAATAACTTTAATGTTTGCAATAAAGAGAATTAAGTCCATGTTGTTTTGTTTCTGTTCAGACACAAATCTATACCATAACTTCGTGTGTGACAGATCACAGGAATAAAAGCAACAAACCTAGCAGACAAACAACAAAAGAAACAATGGGTAATAATTAGGACTTCACTAAATATTTACATGCAAAACTTTTTTTTTTACATTTTAGGTCTGATTGTAATATTTATGCACTTTCTTCTGAGACAATGACCTTGCCAAAGCACTCCAATGTTTAACAAAATGATTCTCAACAGTTAGGCAGGAAACTGGCTCAGATTCTTCCAAGATGTGATTAATATTATGTACAGCAGCAATGGTTTGGGTTAAGGATTAGGTCTGCAAAATTACATGTTTACCAAAGTGCAGCCTAAATTGTGTTATCCACCAATATGGACACTTGATTGGTGTGTTTGAGGACATCCACCATGTTGTCCACAATGAGTGTTGTATCTGGTTTCAATCCATTTTTACACTTCTGAGCAAATTTAACATAAAGCCTGAAGGCAGATTTCCAAGCTGAACTTCCTAGACAGTGGCTTTAGGAAGAATTAGAATCAGCACAGAAAAACCTCTACTTTATATCCTCTTCAGAGGATTTTACAAAGGAGAAAATAACAAGAAAAGGCAGTTAGGATGAACTAATATACTTTCTCTAACAAAACTGTGATGATTTGTGTCGCAGAACTGTGATGTTAATTACCTTTACAGCTTGTTTTATTGAATTACCTGGATAGCTTATTTTATTGAGTGGATCAAGACAGAGATGTGCACACCAATTAGACCCAGGACATATGATTATGAGAACTAATTGAGTCTCTTTGGTCCATTGGATACCATTTCTTATTACTGGCAAGATTTCTTGGACAATGCACAAAGAAAGTCTTTTAGCAACCAACCTCAAAGTTATTTCTCTGAGTTAATAATACCTTTTAGTGACTGATTCTAGTTTTGTTCAGCTGGGAGACTCCTTATATCTTTGTCCCAAAATTATGCCATGTTCGGAGATTAAATTTTTGGGTATACTTTATCTTGGCCTGTGTTACAGAAAATGCTCTTTAAACTGAGTAGCTACAACTTTCTAAACCAAAAAGGAGTAAATGTGGCCCATAGTCTTAATTATTAGTTGAGCAGTAAGAATGAAAAACACCAAGGCCTTTTTTTTGTCCCACTGAATTGGCTGATGTCTGTGTCTCTGGAGTGCTGTAATAAAGGGGGACGTTTTTAGGGCACAAGTCACCAGATGGTGCTGTAACACATAGGTTTAGATTTTTTTTTTTTACCAAGCAAGCACGGTTCAATTTGAGGAGAAATATTGTGGTGTTGGTTTTATGATACACTTTCTATTCTGGAGAGCTCTTGCAGAAATTTGAAAAAAAAAATTGCTCCTGTGTTTTCCCTTTGCCTACAGCAAATAGATGGGGTAGAACTGTTTTGTAGAAACTTGCCTTTAGTGTTGAGGGAAATATCTGAAAGGGAAAGAGGCCCAAAGGCTATTTGTGATCCACATTGTAGTTGAATGACTCGGTAATCCCCAAAATCCCTGAGCTAACTCAGAGAAAGATTACAGTCTAGTCAAGGCACGATTCTATGATTCTGTGATAAGGCAGCATATTTTAGAGTTTGCAAAGACATTTGGGCATTCCCATTAAATGTCTAATGGTTGGAGTTTGAAATACTTTTCCAGGGTGCAGATGAAGTAATTGAAAAATTATCTAATTATGTTTACGTAAATTGCCCCATAGCCCCTAACTTCCCAAACTGGCCCATATGATGTGTTGCAGTAAACCTACTCAAGGATAATGACCCACAGTACCCCCTAACACAAAATCACAGAATCATTTAGGTTGGAAAAGACCTTTAAGGTCATCAAGTCCAACCATTAAGCCAGCAGTGCCAAGTCCACCACTAACCCATGTACCCAAGTGCCACATCTACCTTTTTATTAAATCCCTTCTGAGACAGTGACTTCACAACTGTCCTGGGCAGCCTGTGCCAGTGCTTGACATCCCTTTTGGTGAAGAAATTTTTTCCTAATATCCAATATAAAGCTCCCCTGGTGCTACTTGAGGCCATTTCTTCTTCTGCTCTCAGTTGTTATCTGGGAGAAGAGATCAACTCCCAACTGGCTACAGCCTGCTGTCAGACAGTTGTAGACTGTGATAAGCTCTGAGGAAACAACGATCATAAAGATGCTACTTAAAAAATATCTACTCTCTTCAGGTGTTTATTTCTCATAAAAAGTTGAAGAAGATATTCAAGTTGTGTCTACTGGGAAACTGATGTAGTAATTATTCAGGTTTCAATCTAAGAAGAAAATAATCTTTAGTAACATATTTCTCTCACAGAAGTAATTTGGAATTGCAGTGTTAATAAGAACTAGCAAAAATAATTGATCAGACTGTAAGTTCCTTCCCTCGTCCTCAGTCTCCCATCTCATATGGGAGATGTATGTGTCATGTATGCAGCTTGATGAAAAGCTAATTTGGAAACAAACATACAAAAAATCCGATGAGTAAAAAGAATATTGTTAACATTTGGAACAAAAATGAAAGATCTTCCTCCTTTATGTGAATTACTTCTATACCTGGAACGTGTGTTTCCTTTTTAAGTCCACAATAAGTCATCTCTACTTATGTCAATTAGTTCCTTACTAACTTAAAATCCCATCAAAATCAAAGAGTTCATGTGGGGAATAAACTGCTACTGAAAATGAGGAAAGTTATGGGAACATGACCCATCTGAATATAAAGCATATCAGTTTTCACTGACTTTCAAGAGATTTAAACTAAGGAGTCAATATGCTAAACCTGTTAATTTTCCCATTGTTATTGAGCACTTTCAGATGAACTGACAGAGAAGTTGCAGTTATTCTAAATGAGACTCAATGATTTCAATTCCTTCATGGAGGAAGGTACCTGACAGGTCCATCTCTTTAATTCGTACTTCTGGATCCCAGCAGTTCTCTTGAATAACTCTAAAAACCTTTCCATCCTTCATCATCTTTGCCTGTCCCTGTGAAATGACATTTTCATATATTATGAATGTGACAAAGCAGTACATGCTAATTTATAGTTGCTTGAGTATATTGTGCTCCCTATGGAAATTCAGTGACAAAATATTGTTATTTTTATGCAGTAGGTATTTTTAAACAAAGACTATTTTAAAAATAGACATTAATTAAACAATCACTTATAGTTCAGATTTAGTCTTCATAATAAAAAAAATCCCCTTTCTATTGCAAGGTATGTCATTCTACATTTATACGGAAAAGATATCAGGTACCTCAATCCGAGTTTATCCTCAAACCAAATTTTGACCTCAAAACAGTGCTCTAATTAAATCTGTGCTAAATTTTCCCTTTGGGTGTGTATATGTTCCCTTAATAGCATCACAGTGATTCCAGTAACTACAGAAATAACTGTACAGCTCAGTTACTTTCAGTCCAGTTGTTTCATATCGCCATTGATAATGAGACAAAAGCAGACCTGTTATGTTGTCTTCAGGTTATGTTTTCTCCTTGGGAAAAAAAAGGAATTATTGAAGAATTTGTATTTGGGAAAAAAAACCCAAGCAAAACTTTATCACAGTATAAACCCATGACCTCAATTAGTGTAATACCTTTCCCATATGCCACCAATTCCCAAATGTATGAAGTTCAAGATATTATCACAGGCATGAAACATAATATTGTTCCTTTATGAACATGGAAACCTTTTAAACTTCATTTTTTCGTTGATTTGTGAATTGTTCAAAGAGGTTGAGGATGTACAATGTCATCACATTAAGCAAAGTAAATTGTTAAGTTGGAGGTACCCACATGCTGTTATGAACATGGACAGACAGGCACACTAGGCTTTCTGCTGGCTGACACTTGCACAAATGGATGGGACACAACTCATCAACACTTGCAAGCCCTGAGTATTTCCCAGCTGTTTGAAGCTACTGTAGGGATAAGTGGGAAGGGATGAAAGCCAGAAGATCCACCTGGCGCTGTGCATTTGGGGTGGCTAAGTGAGGTCATGCAGCAGATGCATTGGACAGAGGAACACTCCACCTGCAGTTAAAAATTGAAGACCACATGAGAAAACACGGCAGCTACTCCTTCACCTTGGCATTAAACAGCTCCGTGCAAGGCAGGCTCCTGACCCTTCAAGAAAGGGAATTCTCTCTCTCCAAAGGCCACTTTATTTTTCCTCACAAAGTCGGTGTTATTTAGAATTGTCTATTTTTCTAAAGAAAAAACCCTGTTAAATCAGAACATTTGTTACTAGTACACCCAACCAGAGGGATTTCTGTCCCCTTCTGAGAAGTCAGACTGTTCTTAAGCTTGAATTTGTTACTAATTTCATACATGGTTCACAGATATACTGGGATATAATATACAGATATAATGAGTATTTCAAAGCTCTCCTCAAAAAATCTAACTGTGCTGCCCTGGCAAACTGTCAAGTTACTTGTTATCTGTATCACAGGCTATGAAAATTACTTGAAATATCATAACTACAAAGTCCTGATTCTCCAGTAAAATACTTCACTCTTGTAAAATTGGTTTTCCAACCTGATGGAAAGGTTTACTCTGGCCATACACTCCAATACATTAAGAAAAGTTTAGTGCATTGCTACAGGTTGTCTAATAAACAAAAAAACATTTGGGATGTGAGAAAAAGGCAGAGTAGAATGAAGCATTGCACCACACATGAATAGATTGCATGGATTTTACTATTCTCTTCTATTCTACACTACTGTACTCTATCCCATTCTAAACATTATTTGATATTTAATGCTTTAATTAATTTATGTGAAAAGTAAGAGAGACTTATTTCAGAATTAGGTCCAGCAGGCTGTTTTGGTTCAGCAAACTACATTTAAATGATCCCATTGCTGAACCACTCAGTCACATTCCAAATTGTTCTTCTTTAAACATACATGTAATTGTTTTCTTCCAGTTTGACTCTGATGCTTCTTCACAGAATGATATGAGAAGCCTTTTTTTTTTTCTTGGTTTTTTTTTTTTTGTTGTTGTTTTTTTGGTGGGGTTTTTTTTGTGTGTGTGTGTTTTTTGTTTTTTTTTTTTATCTTAAGAATTAAAGAAAATTATTAAATTATCCCCATCTTTACATATCTGAACAGGATTTTATTTCGCCATGCACTGCTTTTCATGTAAAATTTTCAGATGGAAGTAGGCTGGACAGAATTCTCTGCAGAGGGTATCAGGCTATTATTGACTTGCCACAAAGTTCCTCTGCAAACTATTTTTAGCACGGAATTTTAGCATTAGACCTGTAACAAACAGCTAAGCTGCTAAAAATGTATCCAAGCATTCTCTTCTTCCTGCAGCTCCCACATGTCTCAGGAGCTGTGCCATCCACGAGTTGGTTCTGCAGGTGGCTTGTTCTCCCCTACTGTGCCTGCTTACACTCAGATCTGAAATCTCAGCATAATATTTGTTTGTTCCTCATTCTTGGTTTCAACCTTCATATTCTGTGGTCCTTTTCCACAAATGGTTGTTAGGCATTTTACAGCATAGCCTTGCATGTAATAGAAAGGCAAAAGTGTGTATAATGTTAGGTTGCAATAAATAGACATGGTGTTGTATCTATTTAATCAGGCTTTGTCTTTCTTTCTTTATCTCTTTCTTTTTCTTTCTTTCTTTTTTTCTCTCTCTCTCTCTTTCTTTCTCTCTTTCTCTCTCTCTCTCTTTCTTTCTCTCTTTCTTTCTATTACCCAGCTAGTGTAAGCTTATATGCAATCACAATGAAGTAGGATTTTGCAAAGTGACAAGGGGATGAGGGAATATCTAGTTCCACTGACATTAACAGGCATTATATACTTAAATACTTTGGTACCTGGAAGATGCAAGTCTTGCTTCCCTCAAGCTGAGTCTCTATAGGGAATGAATGAATTGGCCAAACCACAAAAAGGAGCAAGGAAGAAGATCGGGTACTCTTTTCTTTATAAGGTTACTCCAACAGGGAGAGGCACTGCCACTCTGAAAATGCAAAGTAGCCAATCCTTCTATCCCTTATCCCTCTAGTTTTCAGTATGGAATCCCTGTATTGAGAGAAGAATTTCATAAGACAGTCACAGATTGTGAATTTCATCTCTCAAGAAAAAGGTTCTACTGAGATATATTAGGACTTGCCCTGATATTACTTCATAGAATACAGAGCTCTAGAGAAATCTGTATCAGAAACAGAGCCAATCTTATTGCCACTTCACTTCTTAATATTTATTGTGGGTTTGTGTTCTTGAGGACAACACAAGATTAGCTTAGAGCACCAAACAGCCCAAACCTTGCAGTGATGATCCAGCTGTACCCATCCACCATATCCATATCTCTGTGGAAGAAAGAAGACAGTGCTAGTTAGCACTCTGTAATCACAACAACAACAACAACAACCTATTACTACTACTACTACTACTAGTACTATTATTATTATTTGCAGTTCTTACAATCCAGCAGTACCTCATTCAGGAGAAACACGTGGGCTCAGCTTTGAGTCTGAGTAGCCCCACTGACTTGAGCAGAAGTGCTGAAGTTGGACTGGACCTGACTAACGTTGTTTGTATGTGCAATTTTAGCTGCCAGTTAAACAAAATTTTTAAACAACTTATTCCAAAATGCTCAAAGTTGCTTACTATATTGAGACTCTAACTGGAATGATTTTAACAGAGAAAAAATTAAATTAAATATTTGGCAGTATGAGAATTGAGCTGACTACTTTGCAATCTGTGATCAGTTAATCATTAGCACAGAGATGCATTGATTCCACTTTTCAGCTTCCATGATTCAGCAGCAGGACTGAAGGTCAGACTCTTGTCTATTAATATTTAAACAGCCAAGAGTAGCTAAAGAGGAGAAGCTTAGATGCTCATTGATTCTTCCAGAGAGATTCAAAATTGGTCATGCAAAAGAGCAAAACCTATATATGAAGCTGATTTCCTCTTACTTTCATGAATTTAGATGAGAAATGAAATTTTCAAATATCAGACTGGAAACAATGTTCAGAATTCCTATTTTTTCCATAAAGAAACATTTAAAAGGAAAGTAAGTAAAAGCAGGCATTTCTTTCACTGAAATGTAAACAATTTGGATACAGTCCTGAATTTCCTGTGATACTAAATCATTACTTAATGCCACTGGGAACTTTCCTAGTGCAGGTGTGCAGACCCAAGCCTGACTTCAGCCAGTCAGAGATTCTACAGACTGAGGCTATGTAAGTTTTATTTAGCTATGTTTAGCTATGCATATTTTATTTAAATTTATAAGGTTATATTTAAAAATATAGAAACTTGGGAGAAATTTAACTTAAACTAGCTCTGTGCTAATTCCAGTTACAAGCTGTGCAGAAAACGAGGACCTTAAAGGTGCTGAAGGAGCACAAAGGCAATAAAGAAATTCACTGCTTTGTTTTTGAACATGTTTTCTTCTTTCTTCCCTGCAGTTACTGGCTGAGTGCATTGACAGTCCTTACTTAATTTTTTATACAAATTTTTGTACTTATGTTGGGTTCCTAAGCTGTTCAATATGTATCTTGACAATTGAATTTTCTAGGATGAAGGTTCAGTATTTATAAAGCTGGAAACAAGAAAGAGAAGTTCAGCACTAAGTAAATGTGTGCATGTCAGGAGACTTCTTTGGTTTTCCATGCATGAGGTGTAGAGATCTGTGTTAATGGCTTGAATTTTCAGAAGACTCCAGGGAATTCTGGGAGGTGTTTTCTGCTCTGGGCCCATTAATAAACCATTGAGTGGCTCAGAGCAGAGGAACAAAAACTAGCAGATGGAAATTACCTTTTAAAAATTTGGTATTTGCTTCTTTATCTGTGTTTTAAGAAATGCAACACTGGCCTACAGTGTCTACCATGAGTGAATTCTTGATGTACATCTTGGAACATCAAGGGATTCTTGGGGTCATTTTATCCCAGTGAATTTGTTGCCCTTTTAAAGTATATACAGAAAAAAAATAAAAAATCCTTTAAAAATCATATAAAATCAGAATAAAGGCATTTTATAGGTGTTTTTATAAGATTATTGCACAAAGACAACAAAATCTGAAACAATCAAGAGTAATCTGTCTTGTAGTCAGTCTATTTAAACTCCTGTCCATTTAAAACAGACATAATTGTTCTAGAAAGGGTCTGTCCTCCCACCTGCATTATCAAGTGTATATGTGTTTTAAGTCAGGAGCTCTTAGTATTACAAACAGGAGGTTCAAACAGATATTTATAAACACCTTCCTTGATAAACATGGAAACAAACATTCCTTTCCAGGAAGTTTTATGTATAATGGTGTTATTTTTTACTCCTGATGAGGAAGCAGTCCTACGTATGTTTTTAATGCCAGATTTTCTCATAATTTTTTTTTTCTAATATGCTGTTAACATTTTCCAGCTGTTCTCTTTTCTAATATTGGCTGATGCTGGACTGTCATGATTAAAATCACAGAAACACAGAGCTAATAGATATGAAACCCTTTCAGATATACTACTTTAAAACATAAGTGTCACTCTCTGTTCCTAAATACATTTCATGGGATCATGAAAATATGACTGACAAGAATAAATTTATGTCACTGAATAATAATAACAACAACAATACAAATAATAATAATATGCAAAGATTCAAAATTAAGACAAATTGACATAGCTTCAGTGTTCTGACAACTGAGATTTTGTATTTTAAAAACAATATGCTACTTCCTTCCAGTAACTGAAAAAATAACAGATATCATCATCATCATCAATTAACTGCACTTAGAGTGACCCCACTCCTATTGAAGTTAATGACTTTCATGCTTGGGGGTATAAGATGTGAATGATTTTTGTCTTAGTTAACATTAATCTTGCCTAATATTTGCTTATTTATTTAACTAAAAACAAACATGTTTGGGAACAGAACATCTTTATTTTTATCAAGACAGTGGAATTCACACCTCATTATTTGACAATTTTAGGTCAAAAAACCCAAGGAAAATGGTAAGAATTGCTTCAGACTAAATAAAGAGTGGGGAACAGAGCCCAGTATGACATCCCTTTCTTACTGAGACTCTTGCTTTGCAAAGTAATGCATACAAATATTTTACAACTGAAAAAAATCAAATTATACAAAAACCTAGAGATATTAACCACAGAACCCTTCATTCATTTTTCTTTCAAAAATCACATGGGTAGAAATGGTTGCTGATCACATAAGGCATTGAATATCTAAACTCTTTTTACCTTTTTCAGGTCAGGCCATTCCTTAGGTAGAATGTGGCTATGAATATCAATTTTCATTTTGGAAGTATCACAGGAGAAGCACTCCTTGAATGATAATGTTTTCTGTGTGAATGCTACTGTCCTTCCTCTCCCTGGTTCACAGGTTATTAACTTTGGCTGCTGTCCAGATCCACCTGCTGCCTTACCAGGAAGGCTTGGTCCAGTGGCCAACCAGGAGGCCTAAATCCCAGAGGAGTGGCTCTCCAAAAGAACAAAGGCTTCTAGCAGAAAGTCCCTGTTAATGCACAAACTACAGCTGACTGAGGGCAAAGGGAAAATACATGTTTATATTGGCACTATGAAGGGATTTATTTTACACAGAAGCTAAAATGAAAATTTGTGGTTGAAAATCACTCAATAAAATCGAGTTAGAATAGATGTATTAAGCATGCTGACTTGAATTTCCTCTTTTCTGCCTCTCAGATCTGAAACGGTAGAGAACATATAATGTAGAGAATATGTAATATAACCCTGGGATAGACAGTCACACCTCCCCATGTACTCTCTTTTTTCTCCCCTTGCATTTTCTTTAAAGCTATTTAAGAAAACCCCCACAGAAATATTGAATTGCAGACAAATCTCTGCTCTGCACTTTATTTCCCCCTTCTCATTATTGATTCTTGTGGGATATTTACACAAGCTCCTGCATAACGTCGCTCACAGCCTTTCAAGCTGGCTCAATATACAGCAACACATATATAGCAAATATAGCAGTTTCTGTTTCCTAAGTTAAGTTTAACTGCAGCTATCTCAGATTTTCTGTGAAACTACATCTCCTCTTTTGCTCTTTACTCAATTTAGAATTACACTTCTTTCCTCGAGATACCCTTGCCCTTTATTTGTGCTGTGTTTTTCTCTGTTGTTTTACTTCCTTTAGAGTTTTATTTCAATGTATTCTACTCACACAGTGACCTCTTGTAAAAGCTGGATAACCATTTCCTGATTAATTTTTTTTTTTTTTTGGTGAAAAATGCTGGTTTTTTTCCAAAACTAAATGCTCTTGTGAATCTTGCAACTTCAAATAAAGAAACGTGAAAAACAAGTGGTACATTTTGTTTCATCTGTTTTCTGACTTCACTATTTTGTTTGGGTTTGATTAAAAAAAAATGGACTCTTGTATTTCCCTACTTGTTCACACATTAAGCAAATCTGCTTTTGATTTGGTCAGGTAAATTTCTTGGAGTTATTCTTCAAATCAGCTTCTTGTGATGGGGTTGGTTGGATGGATTCTGCAGCAGGAATGACTGAGTGTTCAAAAGAGATGGGAAGCAGCAGCTTTGAGAGAGTATTTCCTAAATAAAGCAAGTCAGGCAAAAATTTACTTTAACAGATCAAATCCTTGAGATTGAAAATAGCAATTACTTCCATCTCAAAATCAAAATCAATGTCTTCATGACCAGGCTGCCAGGTTAAGCAGCAAATTTGCTCTCCTGCTCCCAAATGTGACAGCTCTGCTCTGTGATGTGGCACTACAGTGTCAGCCTGTTGACAAGCAATGTTCCTGCATGTACTACACCAGACATAAGAAAGAAGTATTGATTCAGCTGTGGGGACTCTGCATCATGAATCCACAGACATGAGGCAGACAGCTAAGGTGAGTCCTTCAATAAAGAGATGTCTGGAAGACAATTCCCTATTTAAGCATAAAAACAGAGGTACTAGTGAAGGAGAGGGGCAGGAAGAGCTTTGTGCATCTGAATAGTGTAAGACACCAAGTTTCTTAAGTCACCTTAGCTGCAGGATGCCATGCAGAGCTCAGCTGCATTTCTCCAACACTGTGTGTAGTTTTCCTCAGTTCTAAAGAAAGATGTAGTTGTTATTTACTGCTCCCAAGACACAGCTCAGCTTGCAAACAGTGTAGTACTCCCACATGGCATTTCATTTAGCAAAATAGAGCATTTGGAAACCATAGCAGTTGAAGGCAAATTTGTATCCATTTCACTTGATTCAAGGGATGGTAAGACATTTGTCTATATCCAACATGATCCATTGGATCTGCAACAGGAAGACCTTCAGTGGCTACGAACAAAACCATCTTCAGCTACACAAGCACCCAACCTACTCTGAGTGCAACAGTG